GTCAATTACTGACATTCACAGATGTTTAGAGGCCTATCACACACTAAAGGGTGACCAGTTTGTTCCAATGTGACGCCAAGTAACTTTAAACTGGATAACTCACTAACATCAGGAGATGGAGCATGTTTCTGATCTGCTGGGATCTACTTCCTGCTCAAAGAAAGAGTCCAACAAGCGCTGGAAGGAGGACAGCAGTGCTGCACTGTCCTCTATGGGTGGACTGTCACCGCCTGCTGACTGACAGCTGAACAGCTCATGACTCATATCTACACTGCAGCCATTTCTGTCGGCCACGATAGCAAAGCTGGTGTTGTTTCCACCTTGTGAGTCTGTGTTTATCTGTTCTTTGCCTTTCTCATCGGCCCATTTGTCTACTTCACACTTGGCAGCTGTATTGCTGAGATTTCCAGGAAGTGCAGTGTGGAGTCTGAAGTCGTCTGGACGGGTAGTACAAAAAGATGACAAAAACAGCCCCTGATCATCCGAACTGCTTCAGATTTAATACTGCAATGCTGAATAAGCCACCAAGTTATAAATGCATCAGACGGAAGATCGTTGAGATGTACAGATATTAAGTCTGCTGAGCTTCATTAACCTTAGAAAGTGTAAAAGGAAAGCAAGTCAGTCAGAAACCACCCTCCGTGTGACGAGTTGATTCAACTCAATGTCTCGAGTGTATTGAATCATCACTTACATTTGTAGTCATTCTTGCCTCATCAGTCAAAATCTGAACTCTTAATCAATTTTTTCTACTCCTGTTTTTTTTTTTAAACGAACTGTCAGCCAATGGCACACCTGCGATGGAGACGAGGGAGTGTCACTGAGGTCCAACCTTAAACTCTTAACTCGCCACGAGGAGTGTGTGTTTACCGGCGGACGCTGCGGTCGAAGAAGTTTGAGGTTTGTGTTTGGAAGACAGGGCTTCTGAATGAATAACATAACTAACCCAGCTCTCTTTTCTCTGTCAGGCTTCAGTGCAACAGTCAACTACAAAGTCACATTTTTCTCTGTTACTCTAGTATGTTATTTTTTAATTGTCATGATAAACATGTGTCTTGTTTTAACCATAGTATTGGATCCGAACTTGCACAAACCCATGTACATATTTTTGTGCTTTTTGTGCATCAATTCACTTTATGGAACTGCAGGCTTTTACCCCAAGTTTCTCTATGATCTGCTGTCTGATGTTTATGTCATATCATATGTGGGATGCTTTTTGCAGGTTTTCATGATATATTCTAACATCAAGATCGATTACTCCATTCTTGTGCTCATGGCCTATGACAGATTTGTGGCTATCTGTCGACCGCTGGAGTATCACTCTGTCATGTCTGTGCGAAGGACCACCGTGTTGATTTCTTTGGCCTGGGTTATTCCTTTCTGCTGTGAAGTTCTTGTTGTGAGCTTGTCATCGACGTTGAAATTATGTGGCAACCGAATACAGAAGCTTTACTGTGAGAACTGGTCAATTGTTAAACTCGCCTGTGGTTCTACAAAAGCAAACGACATCGTCGGATTGGTTGTTATCGGCTTTTACTGCTGTCATGCTCTCTGCATTGCGTGTTCGTACGTGCAGCTTGTGAACGCAGCTTTGAAATCCAGAGAGGGCAGGAGAAAGTTTGCACAGACGTGCGTGCCCCATTTGTTCTGTCTGCTCAACGTCACAATCGCTTTGCTTTTTGACGTCATGTATTCCAGGTATGGATCGGCATCGATGTCACAGAATTTAAAGAACTTCATGGCAATACAGTTTCTTGTACTTCCGCCTATTTTAAATCCTGTTATTTATGGAGTGATCCTGACTAAAATTCGACACAGAATGATATATCTTTGTAGAACGGCGTTCCAAAGATTGAAATCAGAAAGCAAAGTCTGATGCCTGTAACCGCTCCAATACGTGTGAACGTTGCACTCAGGTGATGACAGAAAAAAGGAGGACGGTTCTGATGTGACTCCATATTTGTCAACTTCAACAACAGGGAAAAGAATGATCTGTTTGGACGTGTGAACCCGCACACGTCGGAGGAAAATACCCCCTAATGTTGTGACGATTGGCAAAACTTGTAAGCTGTTTCTACATAACAGGGATTCATACTGTTGTGTTTTGCATGATATCCTTCTGATCTTGGCACAACTGTTCTCCCACATGTGCAGCTCATAAAACAAAAGTAAAGCATAGAGTAGAAGACACACGCAGAAATGCTTTTTAATGCAATGTACTCGATGTATGGATCAGCATCTGTGCCACAGAATGTAAAGAATGTACACTTTGTCTAAGTTCTCAGCTAAAAAATCCTCTAATATATAAATATAAATGCATATATATGTGTGTGACTGAGAATGTGTGTGTGTGTGTGTGTGTGTGTGTGTGTGTGTGTGTGTGTGTGTGTGTGTGTGTGTGGAAAAGACCTCTGAGCTTGCATTGGGATAAAGGGGACCTTTGTAAAAAGAGAAACATGCACAGTTTTCATTCTAAACCCTGTTATTTATGGAGTGAGTTGTGTATTTGTGCAGGATGCCGTTCCAAAGGTTCAAATGAAAAATCAACGTTGGACACCTGTAACCACTTGAACACGTGTGATGTGACGTAAACTGTGAGACTGATAATGTTGTGTTTGTCGTTGCATCCCTTTAATGTTGACAGAACGTTTTCACAGGCTCCCCGTACGTGTTGCTCATGAAACTGAAGCAGAGAGTGAAGAACAGAGGATGTGTGCAGCTACGTTTTCCACAGCTGCTCTGCTTTTTCATGTTGTGACCTTAATATTGATCAAGTTCTGCATCATAGAGAGTAAAGAACTTCATGGCCAAAGAAATGTCTCATGATTCTTCTTGTTCATAACTCAATTATGTCAGGAGGTAGAATTATAAATGATGAAGAAATACATATATATATCATGACAATTGAGAATTTTATGTGATGTCCAAATGGAAAATGAGTAAACATTATGCAAAAGATGTTATCATGAATATCATAACATTAAAATGTGTGATAACTGTGAATGCAGTGGTGCTTTCAGATTTAATTATACATGAAATATGCCACCTTAAACGTGCTACCATACAGTATGTAGCTTTAGTAAGCTTTTTTTTAATAGAGGGATGAGGTAGAGTTCTGTTTACATACTGTACATAACTAAAAGGCAGAATATTAGTCCTCCAGGTCATCCCCCAAATGCTTTACTAGGTTACAAAGATTGCAACTTAAAGTAAGAATCTCCAAGTTTTTCAATCAAATGAAGGTCTGTTAAGTCACTATCCATCACTGAGAGATAAAAGTATTGCATCACATATATCTGAAGTACTA